CCGCACATGAATGACATTCCAGATTCCAACAAGATCAGCTTCTGAAATCTGAAATGAAGAAATGTCTTCTGCATCAAACTGACGGATGTTTGCAAGATTTTAGGGTTTCTTCAATTACTTACCGGATAAGAGCGAAAAAAAAAAAAAACCCCAACAGAAAAAAACTTGTAGTAGCTTTTATTTGTTGCGCCAGCAAAATGCGTGGAATGAAGCCGGTCAGGTTGCATGTCATTCAGAGGATTCAGTGTGATGATTGACGAGCGCTTAATGACGGCTTATACCGCGCTCCGTGTTGTGCAGTTCTTTCATCCATCCATGACCTGAGTTGCTATCGTCATGAAATAGACTTGAATAAGATCGAAAGATTATTTTATCTTCAAAAAGCACGCCGCAAAATGTTTCGACATGCAGTTTGCTCCAAGAATACTTCTCTGTAGTTCAGAGAGTATTCTTTATGACTATCCGTGCACGTCGGGCCTCATTAGCTTCACGGAGCAGAATCGGCTGCCTTCTGACCGTCGTCGTCTTTTCTGATCTGTGGAAGTTGATCTGATCTGACTTGATCATCATCGTCCGTTTTCATCAATTCCCCTCCAACACAAACACACTCAACTGTCACATCATTCATGAGATGGAAAGAATAGAACGTGGATAAACGAAAAAGATTGCGCAACGTAGGTGAGGCAGAATGTAGGGCAAGAAAGAAAGCGAGGAGGTGGAAACGGTCCAAGAATCCAAAGAGCAGCTCAAGAAATCCTGAGCTGCCATTGAAAAGAAAAACAAAAAACGCAAAAGTGGCTTACGTCCAGTGAGACCTGTTTGTTTTCATTCCTTGGAGTGACATTCCCAACTCGAAGTGGGTGTCAAAGGTGACCCCTTCGCCCATCCCATGCACGCCCCTCTCCGGCTCCCGCCACACCCACATACCAGATTGACTTTAAAAGGAAGCGATGCTGCGTGGCATCTCACCACTCTCCACCGAGCATCAGCACACCACCATGACCTCCTTCATCTCCCGCTCATCCACCAGGTCAGTCCGGACCGGTTCCGTCATGGGCGGCGGCAGCGGCGGCTCCTCTATGGGCGGCGGCCGCATCATGTCCATGAGGGCCGGCAGCGTTTACGGCGGTGCGGGCGGTTCCGACGTGCGCATCTCGTCGGCCGGCATGGGCATGGGCCTGGGCCTGGGCATGGGAATGGGAATGGGCGGCGGCTACTCCTCCGTCTCCGTGAGCGGGACCGAAGCTCTGATGGGCAACGAGAAGTTCACCATGCAGAACCTCAACGACCGGCTGGCCAGCTATCTGGACAAGGTCCGCTCCCTGGAGAAGGCCAACGCCGAGCTGGAGTTGAAGATCCGTCAGTTCCTGGACAGCCGAATCGGCCCAGCCAACCGGGACTACACCGCCTACTTCGCCACCATCGCCGACCTCAACGCCAAGGTGACAGCAAAATACTCAGTCAGAAAAAAAAAAAAAAAAGTAGAGCCGCTCAAATGCACCTAATTGCAAACGCAGTGAATTTTTGTAACTCTCCAGTACATTGAATGTTGATAGCTTGACAAAGTTAGCTTGATGGCTAACAAAAAAAAGTGGGGAAAAAAAATGACATCGCACCACTTACGTTGTTGTTGCAGATCCAAGACGCCACCCGGATGAACGGCGCAGTCCACCTGAGCATCGACAACGCCAGGCTGGCGGCGGAAGACTTCAAAACCAAGTAAGTCCGCATCCCGATCGGATCCGACGTGTCGTCCGTCTCCTCTGCCGCTGTGCTCATCAGCCGCCTTTCTGGTCTGCCGCCGCAGGTTCGACAACGAGCTGGCCATGCGCCTCTCGGTGGAGGCCGACATCGCCGGATTGCGTCGCGTTTTGGACGAGCTCACGCTGGCCCGGTCGGACCTGGAGATGCAGATCGAAGGCCTGAAGGAGGAGCTCGTCTTCCTCAAGAAGAACCACCAAGAGGTCACCTGCACGCCCGCGTCTTCTTCTGCACTTTTTTTCTGCATTTTCCTCGTCTATCCTTCTGCCTTTACTTTGACATCTTCCTCATGTGCATCTTCCCACTTGGGTCGACTTCACCTCGTTCTACGACTGTCAAAACCAATGCGCGTCTTCACGAGCGGCATTCCGATTGGCTCGACGCCTTTTTGACTGAAATCAAGCATTGCGTGTGCGTGCGTAGGAGCTGTTGGCACTGCGCGCTCAGATGAGCGGTCAGGTGCACGTGGAAGTGGACGCGGCTCCTGGTCAGGACTTGTCAGCAATGATGGCTGAAATTCGAGAACATTATGAGGCCATCACAGCAAAGAACCACAGAGACGTGGAGGCTTGGTTCAACGCCAAGGTAAAGAGCGTTACTTCCAGTGAGGGTGTGAGCGTGTTTATGCGCGGGTGCCCGCTCATGTTTATGTGTGTTTGTGTATACAGACAGAAGCTCTCAACAAAGAAGTGCAAACACAGACGGTTAGCTTGCAGACGTCCAGGTCAGAGATCACCGAAGTCAAACGCACACTGCAGTCGCTCCAGATTGAACTGCAGTCCATGTTGGGCCTGGTAAATCACGACACAACTTTGACGGCACTTTTACACCGTGACGCATAAATATGGTCAGCCAGGTCCAAAGCAAAGAGCATTTTACCTTTAGTCCGTCGCGAAGCAGCTTCCTTCGAAGTATCAGAGAACTGCCGTGCACAATTTCTCCTGAGCGCTTGCCGGGGTGCGTTTGTGCAGAAAGCGTCGCTGGAGGGAACGCTCGCCGAGACGCAGAACCGCTACTCCATGATGCTGTCGAGCTTCCAGATGCAGGTGAGCAGGAAGCGGCGGGGGGGGGAGCCGGCGGAGGCGAGACCGGAAGCGTGCGTTAACGCGCCCTCCCGTCTCGCAGGTTTCCTCGCTGGAGGAGCAGCTGGTTCAGCTGCGGGCTGACTTGGAGCGGCAAAGTCAGGAATATCAAATGCTGCTGGACATCAAGACGCGGCTGGAGATGGAGATCGCAGAGTACCGCCGCCTGCTGGAGGGAGAGACCGTCAGCAGGTGAGTCACGTCGACCCGTACGGCCGCTGTCCTTCCGCGCGCCGTCTTCAGGCCTGTCCTCCGACTGGTTTGCAGCGTTTCTGCCAACACGACAAGCACGTCCGGTAGCAAGCGTGTGGTGACGGTGGTAGAGCAGGTGGTCGACGGCAGGGTCGTGTCCTCGTCCTCCAAGACCTCGTCCTCCTACATGTCTCACTGACATCAACGGCGCAACGAACAAGCTCAACAATAAAAGAGCCGAAACGATAACTTTGTCGTGCGTGTCTTTTCTTGAACTGTTGCCATGGTTACCCTGCGTGAGTGGTGTGTGTGTGGGAGAGACTTTCGGGTGTGGTATGCAATAAAGTTACATTGCTGAATGAAGAGTTGCAAAAAAAAACAAAAAAAAGTATGGCTGTGTTAAAAGTTTTACATTAATGATAGAAATGCGTCCAGTCCCCTCGGTAGCAAAGCAATCCCAAAACAGGATGCCCCACCCCCATACTTCACAATTGAAAGGAGGTTTTGATGGTAGTTGCGCTGGACTGGTTTTTGTTTTGTTTTATCTTTGGTTTTATGTTTCCACACAATAGTCATACTATGAAGCACCCAGAAACTGGTTTGCCGACGTCGAATTTGTCGCAGTTCTTTTTGGCTTCCTCTGTTGCGTCCTCAATTGACACTCATTCTTGGTCAATATTTTAAGTCACGTCGAGCAGCGGGAAATGATCCAATGTCAATTACTAGAATGATAAGTTATTTTCGACAGAACACCTTCCACTAGATAACATAATTAACCTGTGTGTTCACTTTTTATGAATGAGGTAGTGTGCCTTGTATAGGCGGTTTTACAGGGTTGCAACTGCCGCCCCATGTTGCCAATGAAGCTATCAACACCAAATTCAAAACTTGACTATACATTCCGTCCAGGTGAATTCACATTTCACCCTATTGACGGGACAGAATGAGACACCTGTGCAAGCTGCACAAGTTGCATGTTACAGATCTCTATGAAGCACCAGGAGTCTTTTTTTTTTTTTTTTACAACTATTGCGACGGGAGATGCAGATAATTACAATAGTGAATCCTTACGATCAAAGGCATGGAAAGTTACAAGTTTATGTTACGGACTTTGGGTACTTAGACTTGTGTGGCTTAATCTTTGTGAAAAGAATATTTTACTGGCAGGATCAACCGGGTTGCCTTGGATCCACGCTCGCTGGCGGTTGGACGGCCCCAGCGGCGGCAGACTTGGCATTTAGGCTAATAGGATGTTAACTTTAAAAGTAGGTTAATGGGACACTCTAAATTGTCCGTAGGTGTAAATGCGAATGATTGTTTGTCGATGTGTGCCCTGCGACTGGCTGGCAACCACTTCAGGCTGTCCCCTGCCCCCTGCCTGAAGATGACTGCAATGGACTCCAGCATGTGCACGACCTAAAAAGTGAGGATAAAGTGGTTCAGGTAATGGATGAATGTTTGAATCCAAATTTCAATGTTAACCGTCATAATAATTTTTAAAATCAGAAATTCATCATTCAGAGTCGGGTGGTGCAGATATGCAGTACTTGCATAAATTGGCCTACTCCTGACTTAGTTTATCTTCACATACTTTCTCCTCCTGCTTTGTGAACGTGCCCAATAAAAACATGCCGATATTATTTGTGCCGCCTTAGCTTAAGTAAACAGTTTATCTCCTGTTTTGATCAATCACATCTGATGAGCAATTCGTGTGTCAAGCGTTCACATACCTTTCCTTGCAACAGTGCGTGCAGTTGAAGAAACGGCGCCCCCGGGTGGCCAAATACGCCCTTGCAAGGACCGCAGACCAAAGGCACGTCAAGGGAGGGGCGGGGCCAGAGCCACACGTGGGTGGAGCTGCTGAAAAGTGACAGCTGAACAAGTCAATTCGCTTCATTGGGTGGAGTTGAAGTAATAGATTACTCCAAGTAAGGAGTAAGTAAAGGTAACGGATGAGAGGACTGGTGCAAAGACAAAAAACTTTTTATAGTCGATTGGCAGTACAAGAAATGGTTTCGTTTCAATAAAAGGCAAGTGATCATAAAAAACTGGTACAAAACGTGTGTGGGTCATATGAAGATTAAAAACATCGAAGATGAACATGAAGAGATGATTAACCTGTAATCATTTGTCGGGCTAAATAGAAACGAAAAAAAATTCAAAAGATCATTCGCTGTCTCTTGACACAAAGGAGAGAGCTCCAAATCAGCCAGCAAGGGTCACACGTACACAAAATGTGAAAGGGGGAGGGGGGAGATGACATCACAACGACGTCATCAGTGTAAACAAGTTGAGTCTTTCGATCGGAAAAAGAAATTTCCGACAAACATTCTTTCCAGTCAAACTCTCCTCTGCATGTACAGGTTGTGTTTTGCGTATTATATATCTATATCTATATATGTATATAGATATAGATAGATAATGTGTATAAATATGGAAAAGTACAAAGACGAATGTGTAACAAAGTGTGACCGCAAGCTAATGTTTGCTAGCACCGAGCTAGTCACACAATTGGTCAGTTGCTTGGCGACGTCTGTGGAAAGCCATCTGAGCGTTGATTCCGTAGGACAGTTGGATATCCGTGGACTACTCGTGCTCTTCGTCCTCACTAGTATCAGGATTTAGTGCACGAGGAGAACTACTGGCTTTCTTGGAACACTTTTACCAACAACTCGCACCACTTTTGGTCCATTAGTACAAATGAATCCTCTAAATTCAATTATTTAGAGGTGGAACAATTGAGAGATTAATCCACGAGTCGATGATCAAATTAATCAGCCCCTATTTTGAATCAATTAATCATTTCGGTATCTTGTTAAAAGTGTTCAAATCTTCAGAATGTCAAGCTTTCAATGCCAAAATTGTCTGATTTCAGTAGTCAACCACAAGAGCAGACTGACTTGATGTTGGTGTTGAACCAAAATAAGACAAACAGCTACTTTTATTTTGAAAAAAAAAAAATGCTCGACCTTTTTGCAAATGTTCTCCTGGTTGTAACGAACCAAACCGGGAACTGAGCATCAGCAAGTTACTGGAGGTTTGTTTTTTTCCTTTTTGCACTGTCACTTTCTAATAAGTTTCTTTTTCAACAAAGGAATGGAAATTAAAACTTAAAAAAAAAATCCAATTTAAAGATGAATCCGGAAATATAGTCAACACGAGCAGGTGCAAATTTGCGCCAGCCAATGTGAAAGATGCATTTGGAGGTGACACGAATGGGGTCACCACACAAAAATTTCCTTCATTGCCAATTCGCTTGAGTTGAATTTTTTTCAATTTGAGCTACAAAAGCGCAGAACGCTTCGGAATAGTGACAACCAGTCAGTCAGTCTGGGGAATAGACTGCGCCACGCACAACGTCCTGGAGTTGTTGAGCAAAAGATTTGTCGCCGTGTTTCGGCACATTCAACTTTTTCCTAACACCTGCTCGTGTTGCAGTTTTTGTTTTCAGTACAAATCTAAAAATATAACAGACGGACGCAATGTCATCTGCAATTACTTTGTGCTTAAAAACTTAAAAAATATAACCTATTGAATATCGTACTCAATATCTTAATATGTTTTAGTAATATGAATACAAAGATTTGGAAGTTGCTGTGTCGGTTATCATTCCACTATTTTTATTGCCATTTTGGGTTGTCGCCTCGGTACCGTTTCGCGACCGGTACCAAACGTACTTTATGCAAAGTCAGAATTTCGATATGACAATTGTAGCGGAACCCCCCCCACCCCCCCCAAAAAAAGAGCAGGCCGTAGAGGGCGCTGGCTGAGGAAGTTGGCATAGCCGATATCAAATATCGGTACCTACCGGAGGAAGCCCCTCCTCTTCTCTGCTAACGCGTTGTACGAATGAAGCAAATTTACCCTCGCCACACAAAAGTTGAAGGGGAAAATGTTCAAATGGCTTTCCTCAGACACGCTCTCCACACACGTGGACAAAAAAAAAAAAAAAGAGCCGTAGAAGTAACGATCAGAAAGGCGCCAAAAGGTAACAAAGAGGTGGCTATTGCATTAAAGTAAAAAAAAAAAAAGCATTCTGTCCATGACACATTTATCTAGCATCTGTCTGTGTCCGCAGCAGCGCGCTCCCGCTTGTGGATCTGCTGGTGCGCCTTGAGGTGGCCCGACTGGCTGAACGCCTTGCCGCAGCGCGCGCAGGCGTGCGGCCGCTCGCCCGTGTGAACGTGCTGGTGCGCCTTGAGGTGTCCGAGGCGGCCGAAGCTCTTGCCGCACTGCGCGCAGCCAAACGGCCGCTCGCCGGAGTGGATCTTCTCGTGGGTCTTGAGCACGGCGGCGTTGCTGAAAGTCTTGCCGCAGTGCGAGCAGGCGAAGGGTTTGGCCTGCCCGGTGGCGGCGCCGGTGTCGTGCACGAGGAGGTGGTTGCGGTACGCCGTCTCCTTGCTGAAGCTCTTGCCGCAGTGCTGGCAGCAGAAGGGCCGCTCGCCCGTGTGGCTCAGCCGATGCGCCTTGAGCTCCTTGGCCTGGCTGAAGGTCTTGGCACAGGTGTGGCAGGCAAAGGGGCGCTCGCCCGTGTGCAGCCGCTGATGCGCGCGCAGGTCGTCGGCCTTGGTGAAGCCTTTGGGGCAGTGGGCGCACACGTAGGGCTTCTGGCCCGTGTGGATGAGCTGGTGGCGTTTGAGATTTCCGGCTTGGCCGAAGCTCTTGCCGCACTGCGCGCACGAGTACGGCCGCTCACCCGTGTGGATGCGCTGGTGCGTCTTCAGGTTGCCCAGCGTGCTGAAGTTTTTGCCGCACTGCGTGCACGAGAAGGGCTTCTCGCCCTGCATGTTGCGCGGCTTCCTCACCGTCGGGCTTTTGGTCGCCGCCGCCTTGCCTTCGTCGGCTGGCGTCGCCTGGTAGGGGAACTGGGCTTCGGGTTTGGCCATCCCATCAAGCAGCAGAAGCGAGTCAGGTCGCAGCTTGTTGAGCTCACTGCGCAGCTCGGCCATGTGGATGGACTCCAGAGCGTTGTGAGGCGGCTGCAGAGCATCCGCCGGGTCCAAGTCGCCCGGCTCTGCGGCGTAGTAACACTGCAGGTCCACATGGTGGTCCGATTTGATGTAGTCCAGGGTGTCGCTCACCTGCCACAGACAGGTCCGCGTTCATCAAACAAGTCGGGAAACGGAACGGCGCCCTTCGCAATCGACACGTCGGTCCCGCAAAAGCCAACTTGCTAGCTCTCGTTAATGTGCTCTCTGATGACAGCACAGAAAACACACAATATTAACGACAGCGTCAACATGTTCAGACGTTACAGGGGTGGGGTTACGTATGGCTCACTTCATTCTTTAACCCGGCCCACCCAGCATTTACAGAGCACATAAACGAAAGCAAATGAAATGGAAAAAAAGAGCGCTGCAGATGATAGCTGTAAGACGAACAATTGTAAGGATGAGCGCTACTTGGCTTTTATTCTGGCTCGTGCACACTGCTGCATCTCATCAAAGCGAAATAAATTTGTGGACGCCTATGAATGGATGACACAGGCCAACCGAACTGGAACAGTCAAACTGAGTGTGTGCGTGCGTCAACTTCCACAGCGGCGAACTACATATGTACTTGATAAACAAATAAAAATTCGACCAAACGCCATCTTTTAACTCCAAAAAAAAAAAAAAACAACAGAGAGCCACTTGTCGCCATTCAGCGAGACTGTAAGAGTCACAGAAAGGCACTTGAGTGGATGTTAGAGCGCATTGTTGGATCAAACGCCTGCTGCGATTTTGGTGATTGAGCCCCTTGCTGGAGTTGCGCAAAAACGTTGAATGGTTAGATGTGCGCTGAAAAACACTGAGCGCATTTTGGATTCATCCTGAAACTTCACCGCTGACTTTCATGAGAGCAGAATGCGAGACATGCAGCCGGATACCTGGGAGATGTAGTCAAACACACAGCTGTTCTCGTAGTGCGACTTGTAGTCCATATCCTCGGCATGGCGGAACGGGTCAAGGTGATGATCCAGGTCGGCGCGGTGATGCTCAGCCTTGATGTAGTCCAGGCCACTGATTTCCATCTTGATCTGCTCGTGGCCCAGCTCGGCGGTGGACAGCGGCTGGATCTCCGACAGGTCCACGGTGCGGATGGGCTCCAGGTGCTCCAGGTCCTCCAGGTCCTCGGGCTCGCTCTTGACGCACGGCAGCATGACCAGCGGCTCGGCCACCTCCGCCGCCAGTGAGCTGAGGGTAGGGGTGGGGCCGTCCGAGCTGAGGAGGGCCAGCGAGGCCGGGCCGCCGGGTTCCAGGGGGGGCGGAGGGGAGCCGCCCTCCGAAGCAAGGCTCAGGCTCAGACACTCGGCCTCCAAGTCCGTCATGGTGAAGGGTGGAGCTCCGTCTACGAACCCCCGCCCCCGAGACCTCCGCTCTGGACGCCCTTGGCGAAGGGGAGGAGCTGAGACGACGGCCGATATGAGGAGCCCGGTCAATGGCGAATGGGAGGAACCGAGGCCGACGGCCTTTGTCTGCGAACCCGACGTCAGCACAAGCGCCGTATTGGCAGCGGCCTGCGCACACAACAGACACACTTAGCAATCACCACAATTCGATCACTTGCAATTCAATTCGCTTTCAATTTTCAAGGTTGCGATTTGATCTGATATTCTTTTAAAATGCATCGATGACACTTCAGTAAGAAGAAGAGATATACACAAATAACTACGAGGACCTGTTGCCTGATTTAGTGAACTTGTGGGATGTCACCTCACATTTTTTGATCATCGACGATTGTTCAACTGACGTGCAAAAATTCTGTGCAGTGCGGCAAAATGGCTTAAGCGATTGATGATACAGTCTAAAATTTATTATCAAGGTATAAATTCAGTGTCTTCATGGCAACGGTCTACATCACAATATTGGAAGCGTACAAGTTACATAATGGACGTAGAGTGGTACCTCGGGTTCCAAATGCAAGTATTTCTGTGACCCCGTTTGTAATTCAAAACGTTCATAAATCGAGAAATTGCCATCAGTTCCAGCCCCCAAATTTTACATGATATCACACACACACACACACACACACACACACACACACACACACACACACACACATATATTTTTTCCCCCTCCCAAATTTTAATCGTGTGTTTGAAAATAAATACCGTACAACATAAAAACATACTTTACTATGAAGACATAACACATTAAACAAACTAGTGCTTATTGTATTTCAAAAAAGAGACTTGATCAAAAATTGGGGTTTTTTGCAACACAAAAAAAGCAAATAAAAAAAAGGAAACTTTTTTTTTTTGCCACATTACTTATGTCAAGGCAGCTGCTGTAAGAAGTGAGACTGTGTTTGTGTGTGTGAACTTCCACTTGTACACAAAAAAAAAAAAGATTCTTGTCATGGGGAGAAGACCTTGAGTTCTGATGTCGTTTTGTGTCTTTTTTTTTCTTTCTTCTCAATTTAAGAGATGCTCCCTTGAGTTCTGATGTCGTTTTGCATCTTTTTTTTCTTTCTTCTCAATTTAAGAGATGCTCCCATAGCATAAATACTTTACATATCCAATGATCCAAACGATTTTTTTTTCGGCGGCCGCTGTCAAAATTGTAATTGGAAGAAGCGTGTGTGTGAAAGCACAACTTCTGTCTGCACACACGACATCTCTCTATTTGCTGCTGCGGAGGAGACCGAGTTTTGTGTGTGCTTTTGGGGCGTTTCCAGCCAACCACCGTAACCTTTAAATCATTCCGAGGCCTAATTAAGGGTATTAAAAAAAAAAAAAAAAAAAAAGCACCGCACTGATCCGTCTGCTCATCCAGAGACAGTTTGCACTGCGAAACAAATACGCTTGTGAGGCAGATTTGCGATGAGAATGTTGTGCATAACTGAAAACAGGTTTTTCATAACTCGGGGTTCCACTGTATTTCGGAGCAGGTTTAGCAAGGCTGAATTGATTAAAAAAAAAAAAATTGGTAAAATGTTAATTTAAGAACATCTATTCTGCAGATCCCAAACCTGAACACTTTTTTTAAACCTTATAGGCCTCTCCTCTCGACTGATGTAGGCAGTTAATGCACAAGTTGATTTGTGGTTAGCTTTGTACTCGTCTAATTTGTTGTTCACAGTTGGATACGCTCCGTTGTGTGGCAGTTTCGCCAGACTTTAGTGAGAGCTGTTAAATACTCCTCCTCTCCCTTTCGTGATAATAGGCTACACAAATGTAGCCTATTTGCTGCCACAGGAGACAATGATTAGTGACTTCGAGGAGAGTCTCCGCGCTGTGGTTTGTTGCGCAAGCTAACCAGCCGCACCTAGTTAGCTTGAGTGATGCAAGGTAGCGTACCGCCAAGCATTCCCACTACAGTTCCTGAGCAGCGGGACGGACCGGCAGGATGGCTGACTATTCAACATGGAGGCGCCACTCTTGTAACCAACTCGGAGCCGGCAGTTCTGTTGTCAGACATCCCTGAAACAATTTTTTACACCGGAGCAGATGCAATGACATCGTTATCAACGGGCATGAATGTGATTGGGCAGTAGAGTCCATATTTATATGTACAGCCGATTTTATAATGTCTATCAAATACACAGGCCATCCCAACAAGAATGTATGGATTTTGTACTGGCCCAGACAGGGCAGCATCCATCAAGTACATGGTGGCCCCACAGCATGCTGTACTGTTGCCCTGAGCCATGGTAAACCCTGATATGGCTCATGTCATATTTGTTAATTTATACTTTTGCGAGCACGGCACAGGAAGACGTTGACAGGTAATTTGACAAACACAGTTAATGTTCTACTTTGATTAGCATCTTGTCTAGCGTTGCTAGAACTGCAAATGGATTTGCATGAAGACTTGCACGGCATATGTTGCACATTGACTAACATGCTAACTAGTATAGGTCGTGACGTGTCAAATTTGCATGTGGACAATCATAGCTGATGCTGTATGTTTATTAGCATTTTGTCATACTTGGCTAATGTTGGGCATTGGCAGGTCAACTGGCATGGCTAACGGTACATAAATGGGACTTAGACTTCAGGTGAAACTGAGAGCGCCCTCCTGTTGCTTGTTGAATATTTGGCTGCTTTATGATTGATTTGGTTGCGTTGTCGAACAAGCCTCACGATGCACGCTTTTCTTGGAAGGTAACGCTCATGACGTGTTCCTAAGCTAAGCGCAAGCCCAACACTTCCATCCCGTTCGGTCACTGCGGGGGTTGAATGAAAAACTTTTGCCAAGTATGTTCTGAATCAAAAGAGAAGCGTCAATTGCCCAGTTGGGCTTCGTCGCGTCGCGGCCACGCGAATCCGCCGAGCGAGTGCAGGAATGCGGCCTAAGAGAAGCAACAGAACATGGCGGCTCCGCTCCGACTGACTCGGACCGTGTCACACCCCGAGGGACACTTTTTTACGACACGCTTGGAGACTTTTCGCTCTAGACGAATAAAACGGAAGCAGTGGAAATGCAGAAAGTCGGTTTAGTTGAGTACAAAGAGAGGGGAAAGTGCCAAGGCTAGCAACACAGCTAGCCAGTGGCCATCTTGTTTGACGCCGGATGCTAAGCTAAGCTAAAATAAGGTTAGCATGGTGGAGACCGTGAGCAAGAGCGGGAAGGAGAGCACCGAAGGAAGGAGGGGGGTGGGGGGGTCCTCCGCCCGCGCCCCCGCTTCTCCTAGTCGCATCGCATTAAACACGCGGAGTGAGCGCAGCGGGGGGCGCCTGACAGCTGTGGCCGAAGCGTGTCAGATCACGGCGGCAACCAAATGGATGCAAAAAGGCCGCGGCCGGTCTGCCGGTGGCCCTGCTACGCGAGCCTAGCGGCCAGCGGCCTGTTCGTTTCGGGGGCTGCTGCTTACCTGCGGGCGTTCCGCGTCATGGCTGCTTCGGCTCAGCTGCCCGCGACTTGTGGCCAACTGCGGCGGACCCGCCACGTCCACCTCGGCCTCTCCTCCCCTCCAACAGTGGTGAAGCCCTCCTCCTTCTCCTTCTTCTCTCCTCCTCCTCCTCCACCTCCTTCTCTCCTCCTTTCCGCCTGGCCACCGTCCATCGAGGCTGGTAACCAAGGTAACCGCCACTTTCAAACCCGGATCGATACGAGCTAATACAGTTTGAGGAAAAAAACTGATATATTTAGTCAGTTTTTGTATTGTATGTTTTATATTGCTTCTTTTTTTACATGGTTTAATTTACATTTTATTTTTGATTTAAAATTTGCATTTTATATATTTTGTTTACCTTTTATCTTTATTATAAAATTAGTGTTATCATATATTTTATTATTTTGGGAGTATTTTTCAATTATATCTTTATTTTTTAAATTCTAGATTACATTTAACTTCATAATCACAAACGTGAATAGATTGTGATGTCACGGTGGAATGTTTAAATGTATTACATTTATATTAATTAAAGTTTAAATTTAATGGTTCTCACATTTTTTCACACAAAATACGGCCTGCAAAAAATACTTGGCTCTCCAAGTATACAACTAGCCTTCGGTAGTGTGCTTGGTGACTCTGGTTTTAGTTTATTTATTTTTTACCTGTTTGGTCGCCACGGGCTACTGACTGCCCTTTACGTCATATCCCTCACAAAAGATTAAAAAGTGAAGCTTGTAAACTCATTGTACAGGTGTAGAGTGACAATAAAACACATTATGTTGTGTTCAAAGACTAGTTTGTGTCCAATCTGTGAATTGTTTCATTAATTTTTTTTTTTTTATTAAATGGAAAAAGTAGTGATGCACCATTGTATGTATGTAATGCTGTATTTTGGCTGGATGAAACACTGAAGTCCTTACTGTGAGAACGTACCACATAAACAAAAAGTACTTACAAACCACTCTCCTGTCCCTTGATTGATCCACCTGATGTCACTGAACCGTCGCTCACATCCACCACAATTAGCCATTAGCTTCCTCATCTTAGCTTCATTAGCATGCTGCCATGCATCTCATTTGTCCACGTTTATTGACGTTCTTGATCAACGCTAAAACATTAAAAAGTTCACATCAATGACCAACATTCAAATACAAAAAGGTGTATCAAAAGTATTGCATCCAAAAAACAGACAATTTCAGCAACGTTACAAAACGTACACTCTATTGATCCCATTTGTGTGCGTGCTCATTTAGACAAAGAGCATCGCTTCTTCTTCCCTTTAGCGCCCACAAGACTGCTTTGAGTCAGCAAAAACAAACACTTTTTTTTTTGTGCGTCTAACATGGAGTGAGAAAATGCTCGGATTTCAAGTTGGGAAAAGAATGAAAGAGTTGCAATAAACAGTCCATTGCTTTAAAATAAGGGGAAAAAAACAATTGTAAACATCCATTAAGATCCGGTCCCAATGTTTGTTCAGACGATGCCCACCGTCAAAACGTACAATTTGACAACATCAAATGATTATCAATGAGGGGCCCATCAACCGACCGCATGAATCCGAGCAGAACAGTGAGAAATTAGGACATGGAGACAACACATGACATCCAGTTGCACAGTTGACATTAAAAAAAAAAACAAAAAAAAAAGAGAGTCTCTCTCAATCTTGTCACCATGATGTCCCAGGCTAGCCAGTTTAGCTAAACTGCTCATAGACAATCCATGAACAACATTTTTTGGCAAAGTATACCCGCATCCATCCGTCCCCACGGGCAGGCCTCAAATATCCAAAGTCGAAAGAAACAATGGTGTCATGTTGTTTGAATGATGGGAATCTAATCTGCAACAGCCTCTCACTCTGCACAATACATTTGAGGCGTGTGTTGACAATGCCCCCTGCTGATATCACTCCGCTGACCCTTTAAACTGCACCCGCTATAGCTCGTCATATTTTCTGTCGGGCTGAATGAGTTGTCGTTACAGTAGCTAAATATAGACATGAACATTCAAGATATTAATATCTCAAAATCAAAGATTTTCCCCTGCTCGGAACTCTTTGTACAGTACATCCCATTTTTATGCTTGTCTTTCAATAAAAAATGAAGGTCAGCCAATGACAAACCCCTATTCATGTTTGACGTGGGATGTCAGATGAAATCAGCCAATGACAAACATCTAATGGCGGGAGCAACGAGTGCAGAGACACGCGTGGGGATCATCCGCCATTATTTGGAGGTATTCGAGTTAAAAAAAAAAAAAAAGACAGCGAGAGTGAACCAGATCAAAGTGTTGTGCTTGTCGTGCTCACTTAGCAAATCTGCTGCAGGGTTAGATGTTTTAAACGACATTGTACGTAACCACACTATGTGAGAAATGGTGTCTACTCAGCATCTGTTGCAGCCTGTTCATCTTGGAAAGGGGAGTCTTCCATTTCGGGGTTTCTTCCTTTTTGTTTTGTTTTTGGTTTTTTGAATCAGTCAAAAAATGGCTTTTGGCATTTTCCCTTGCCCAGTCGGGGGTTTAGATCAGGGGATGTCACCAATCTTTATCAACCACGGGCCTGTGAAGCCCTGATGAAGTCAAGTTTATTTTTACATCCCTGAAATGGCCTGCGAGTAAACTTGATGTCTCCCGTCAGGCATGGGGACGATAGTTTGCGAAAATAGAAAACGGCTCTCGTTTTAAGCCAAAAGGAATCATTTCTTTTTGAATGATCCGTTCTTAGTTCAAATAACGCCTGCTTTATCTGATACATTACAGTACGCTGATACACACACGCAACGCATGCTTACAGTAGCTTTGCTAAGCCAGCAACAGTCTAGTTCCAACAGCACCTCCTATTCAGATGATTTCGTGCAGTTTTTTTGGGGGGGGCGCGCAATGAAAAAAAAAATGGAGCTCATTAGGTACGAAATGAAGGACACCTTGCCTCCAACCTAGTTTAATTTGTTCAGTACTGAGACTAATATGAAGACTAAGGCTGACGATAATCATCAGGCTACCCTCTCATACATTGATTAAGTGTCCCTTGAAAGACGCACACAACTCGGCTAACGCCTCGGAAGCTCGTGAAAGAGTTGTTGTCAATCAAAAATATGATGAATTTATTCCTTTCTTCCGGCACTGCGCCTATTGTTTGCAAACACGATGAAAAGGTCTTTTGAGGTTCTGCACGAGCGACGACAAATCAAAACAAAAGCAAAGAAATTCACATTGAGGACCGGCCGTCACAAGTTTGTTCTCGTCAGTGCGTGTCACGCCCGAGCAACGTCTGCCGTCGCCTTCAAACATGTCCCCCACGCCAAACAAACGAGTGGCGACCGGTCGGCTGAGGTAACAACAGGTGTGTGTGGAAAGCAGTCAAAAATGAGGTATGTGGCGGCGGGAGGTGCAACTGGATCGCCACGACAGGGGACATCAAAGGAAACCTTCACAAGTCCAACACGAGGAAAAAAAAAAAAAAAAACATGACAGCAAATGTTGAGAGACCAGCAAACGCCCGCAATGTCCCAAACGCGTCCGTCAGTGAGCCGAGCTCCTCGGTGACCTTTCGGAAAGCATTCGCAAAGATTGTCTTCACTCAAAAGTCCTCCTGCGCCTCCACGTTGTTCAAACTTGGCGAGGTCGGATGACGTGAACGTCACTTTCTGTGCGTGTGTGACAATTGGGCAGCCACTTGCTGCCTTTTTAAGGACAGGAAGTGTTCTTGAAACTTTGTTGCCGTCGACTTTGGACTTGTGCGGTGATGCCCCGCTAGGCTGCCTGTTTTGAAGCAATCTGGTTCAAATGTTTTTTTTTTTTTCTCTTTACAGTTTCCAAATGACTCAGGCGTGAGCAAATGCAGTCGTTGCGTTGGGAATCATTCATCATTTCCGACCCGCAAATGCCTTGAGATACAAGTTCAATTCCCTCCTTTCCCGTTTTTGTCACTCAAAATACTCATATCTCAAATCGTATTTCCCCAATGTGTCTTTGAATAAGATTCGGTGTGTTTGAACGAGTTAATGTGCTTCAAGTGGTGTGTGAGGACTAAAGTGATTAAAAAGTACAAAAAGTGAGGTCTCCCTCTATACTGCGAATATTGTGGAATGGATCCCCCGCACTAAATGCGGGTTGTGATTCTAACTTGTGATCGATTTGACAATTGGAGTAAACATGGTCATCTTCGTGATGAAGATGAAGTCTCCTTTTTTTTTTTTTTGGCACGTTTCACATTTATCACAAAGACCTGCGTGTGTGGACATGGGTACCGTTGCTGATGGCTTGCCCGGTAGCAGTGGGGGGCGGGGGGGGCTCACGACCGGTGTTTGGCTTGCAGGTGACTGCGGAGGCGGCCGGCCGAGGGGAACCTCTTGCCGCAGAGTGAACAACGAGATGATGTGACACCGACGTTGGCATCGGCGTGAATCTGCCGATGAGCTTTGAGCAGCAACACGCGGCTGAACCTGCGGCCGCAATCCTCGCACTCGGACCAAACCTTACGTCGCTTCTTCTGCACACACACACACACACACACACACACACACACACACACACACACACACACACACACACACACACACCAAGTACCAAATATGTTTACGTCATCTGTGGACTGTTCAGTTATTTATTTTAAATGCATTTATTTATTCTTCCATTTCCAACTGCCCATTTAAAAAAATTTTGACCTAAGCCTGGAAATCACCGATGGGGAGTCAGGCATTCTTTCATATTACGACGAAAATGGAAAGAATGCATGACAGTCGCTCAAATGGCACCATGCATTTATCTTGCATCTGACTGTCGTCATGGCAACAGTACCTTCCTCCCTTTCTCCTCCTCTTCTTCCTCTTCTTCCCCCTGGTCGTGCTTGTCCTCTTCCTCCTCCTCCTCCTGCTCCTCCTCCTCCTGTTGCTGCTTGGTGCCCTGGCCAGTGGGCATAACCCTGGCATCCTGCGGTTTCTTGTGTGTGGTGCCCGCGTTGTCGTCTGGGAGCTGCGATGCGGTCAGTAGACGCTGCAACATGGAGGCTGACGAGTGAATGCCCCAACTTCCTGTTTGGAGGAAGCAAGCCATTGTCAGCCCAATGAATGAAATTTGAATCGTGAGCACGATTTTGGCTCCCACGATTAAATGAACCTGATCATTGATAAGCTTTCTATCAAGTACTTTCTCAAGCAGTTGTCAGCCATTCAATTTCAAGTTGCATTTTTGTCAGCATCAGCTGTCTACACTCACCTGAAGGGGTCAGTGGCGGAGGAGCGGGTGCGGGCGCGGCATCCCGGTCGGGGCAGAGGACGTCCATGTCCTCCAGAGGCGTCCATCGGGGGTCCTGCAGACGGGGCGACTCAAGGGTCAGCGCCATAGCGGGAAGTAGTGGCGGGTCAGGGCCCTCACTTGAGCCGCGCCCACTCGCCCCACCTCCTCCCACCGAGCCTTTCGGCTTCCAGATATCTCCGCACCACTCGTGCCCGAACACCACCGCGTTCGCCTTGTCCTCTGTTCCGCCAGTGCCACCCGTCTCCTCGGCCGGCTCCGGGCAGGTGTCTTTGGGGGCAGCCTCGGAGCCGCCGGGTGAGCCCGGGTTGTCTCGGGCCTCCCGGCGCGCGGCGCCCCGTTTGCAGTCCAGCCGGGCCTGCAGTGTCTGCCTCTCGCACTCCTTCTGCGTGATCTCCAGCAGGAGGTCGTCAAACGATGCTTCCACCATCTTCTTCAGCTGGCACAGGGCCGAATGCAGGACGCGCTCCATCACGGACTTCAGCTGCTCTACAACCCCCCAAAAAAACAACAACCCTGGTTGAAGGATTTCTCATGAAATCACATCAGTCCAAAGTAGTTTTCCCCCAGCATTAATATGACTGGCACCTTGACAAGTGGCCGCCATTTCGTGGAATTTTAAAAAAAATAAAAACCACACACACAGAATGAGCCTCTCTGAAATCCTCTGTAACAAATAGATACCGGTAAAATCAATTGGCTGCTGAAGTACATGAGCTCGTCTTTTTCCACCAATAAGTTTCCATGAGGACTTTTTTTAACGTTAACGCAGAACACTGTACAAGACTTCCACATGGGATACACTGGTGGTCCCTCTATTTAAGAGGAGCCTGCCCTTTGCTCGAGCCTTGCGCATCAACGCGCCTTTATGAGGAATGAGATGCTGCTTAACTTCCAGGTGGCTTTCCATGTTTTCAGATTCGAGGAACTTTGACATGAAGAGGCTTGAGATGGGCCTATTGTGCATGTTACTTGAACTATTTGATTATGGCAGAAATTCAGGTGGCCAATCAAAATACATCTTATGATCACATGATTTCAAAATGGTGGCCCCCAGCGGCAACTACATGTTTGAGTATACTGTAAATCAAAACATTTATTGAGTGACTACGCAAAACACTACGGAAATGATTCTCCTTACGTTCTAGGCTTTATCTAAGCGCCAAATCAACTGAGCTGTCAACACTGGCTGATTTTGTCAAGTAATTTGCAGCCATGTTGCTGGTGTAAAGCCACAAAATCACAAAATGGTTTTGACAGTTTAAGTGGAATGAAGGGCGAGTGAGAGACGACCAAAACAAGAACACTTTTGACCCTTGACCTATGTTTTTTTAACACAGCAGTGACGCGGGGGCACGGCCCGCCCCCTGCCACGTTCCCGCCACACCCCCCACCCGCCGAGCACGTGATCCCTCGCCATCATTTGACATACTCGTTAAAATGATTGGTTTTCTTCCCTCATCGCATATAGTACGTCTGTCAATCATCCCTGAGCCCGGTGACGTATAACGTTGGATTACATAACGCGCTGGCTGGCTTGCGTGTTGTGCTACGTTGTGTTGTGTTGTTGTGTAACGGCCGACCGCCCACCTACCCACGACTCGGCCCCTCTGCTCCAGGCGGCGACTGTCGGTGGGTCCGCGGGGCTTGGCCGGCTGCTCGGGTTTCTTCCTGACCCCGTCCGAGCCGTCGTCCCCGGCGGCCGCCGCCTGGCTCTCCCGGTATTCCTCGGCGCCCCCCTTGTTATGTCCGTGGTGGCTTTCCCACGCCTGCAAGCGGAGCCGCAGCCGGCGGTTCTCCTGCTCCTGGGCGGCGGCCTCGAGGAGCAGCGCGTTGAGGCTGGAGCCCACCGTCGAGCTGATCTCGTGGACGGCCAACTGGACCACCTGCTCTAGGACGGATTCGAGCTGGCCCTGGAAGAACGGAATGTACACGGCTCCGTTCATGCTAGCGGCTCATGTCGAGGGCCGCCTCCTCCACCGCCGCCGCCTGGCCAAAGTGAGGGTGGGTCGCGTGCGGAGGGGCCAGCTCGCTCGCGTGCTCGCTTGGTCTCTGAGGCCGACTGGATGCTCTCCTCGGTCGGCGTCCTCTGGCACAACTCTCCCGCCTCCCTCGCGTTCCCTCCGGATCTACCGTAATGATCCGAAGAGGTGCGCGGCGGCCTTTGCCGCCCACACGTGCGGACGCCATTTTGTCGTGGGGTGGCGGTTTGGTCCTTCGAAGGCGAGGCGCGTCCTCATGACAGGTGGCAGCCGATTGGCGCGGACGCATAAACTAGTTGATTTCATGTGCATATGAAAGTCTGGCGAACGCTAAGCTGAGCTCCAGTTCAGGCGCTATACACAGATATCCCTCCGCCACCCCAAGAAAAACACACAAAAAATATCTGCTCTTTTTGTGCATGCTTTACGGTACTTTGTGAACAGCGGCGTCATGACGTCACACGCTAGCTTTTTTTTTTCAACGGAAAGCTTTATTGAGCTTGTGTTGCTTTTACCTTGTGTAATTTTCAATTTATGTCAAGGGTTTGCCACTAAATCAACCCAATAATATAAATTATTTTAAATTTAAATTGATAAGTACACCAGGTTCCTAAAACACAGTATTAAACAAAACAGAAGTATTGGTCAGAACACTTCTATTTTGCATCAGACTTAGATGTGCGAGGTCCCTGAGAAGCACCACTGTTTCTGGGTGTTGTTGATAAATAGCTTTTGCTTTGCATAGTTGAGTTTTAAGTTGCACTTACGGATGTAGGTCCAAACTTTATTTACTGACACTGGTTTTCTTCAGTGTTCCAGAGCCCATGTGGTGATGCCCTTTACACGTTGATGTCGGTCTTTGATGCAGTGCCGCCTGAGGGATCGAAGGTCACGGGCATTCAATTTTGGTTTTTGCCCTTGACTGTGATTTCTCCAGATTCTCTGAAACTTTTGATGAAATTATGGACCGTCAATGATGAAATCCCTTTGTATGTTGAGGAACATTATCCTGAAACTGTTCGTCCATTTTCTCACGCAGTTGTTCACAGAGGTGATCATGACACCCACCTGTTCCGAGTTAGCCTGTTCACCTGTGGGATTTTCAAACAGGTGTTTCATGAGCATTCCTCAACTTTCTCAGTTTTTCCCAGCTTATTTGGAACGTGTTGCAGCCATAAAATTTCATCCATCCATCCATCCATTTTCAAGACCGCTTTTCCTGAAGAGGGTCTCGGGGAGTTGCTGGAGCCTATCCCAGCTGACTTTGGGCAGACGGCAGACTACAGCCTGAATTGGTCGCCAGTCAGTCGCAGGGCACACACAGAGACAAATGACCATTCACACCCACATTCACTGAGTGGGAACTGATAACACGCTGCCCGAACACAGGTCCGGTTTGTGTGCTACTCCACCATCAGCGACATGCCACATTTAAAAAATAATAATGACCACTTGCTGAAACAATAAAGTATCAGTTTGAACATTCAATGTCTTGTCTTTCCAGTGCATTCAATATAGTCTGAACATGATTTGCAAATCGTTGAATTCTGTTTTTAATTTCTGTTTAACACAACGTCCCAACTTGACTGGAATTGGTATTGGTATGACTCAATTGGCGCGAATCCCAGACGTTTGTCAGGGCAGCAGAGTACTGTATCGGCATCAGCATGTGCGGACACACCTGAAAAGTTCTCCTTATGGCCGCACGGGGGCAGTGGCGTTGCTTTCGGGCCTTTTGGGCGCGTGCGCAGTGGGCACCTCCCCTCCGCAACCCTCGCCCCTCCCCCTCTTTTTCTGCAGCATCAGTACCACTTTCTCTTCTTCCTCCCTCTCTCTCCTCCTCCTCGCCGCCCCTCCCCCAGTCGCTCGTCCCGCTGCTGCGTTGCGGCCCACACTGTGACCGCACCGAGGAGGAAGAGGAGGACGAGGAGGAAGAGACCGCCGGGGGGGCAGCTGTGTTCCAAACCACACGAGGGGGGCCGCCAAAAAGAACAAGCGGACAAACAAGACGCCTCTCTCGCTCTTCCTCTCACTCTACTCTTCATTAGCGACACATCGCAAAGGGGGAATTTTGCGGCGGGAAAACGACGACAGAGACCCCGACCCCCACCTCCCTCCCTCCCGGACGAGCCGTGTAATATTGTTCATCTTCGAGACCCCCTCCCCCCCCCGGCCCCCGGACCCGCCGCGTACGTGGTCGTCGAGCAGCCATGAAGGATCGTACAGCGGAACTGCGGAGCGTAAGCTGACATTTTCTCCAATCTCCTTCCTCTTCTACCTCCTCGTGCGGCCTCCGTGCGTGCGCGCGCGGGCGGGCGGGCTGGCGCGCGTGTACATGCAAAGAGATGAAGACGTGCCGCCGTCACGTGATTGATAGTCCCCCGCGTGTGCGTGAGCGAGGCGCGTCCGTGACATTTTGCCGTTTTTCGCGGGCTTCGACGCAGAGGCCTCGGGCGCGCGCACGAGGAGGCCAAAGAGATGGGCTCCTCGTGCGCGCGCGCGATGACCTGCTGGAGGAGAAGAAATTGCAGAGATTTTTTTTTTTTTTTAACCAGCACCCCTACAAAACACCCCCGCCGCCCCCCAAGCCATCCAAGCCACGTCAGTGGGTCACGGTGGCCTTGGGGGAGGTCTCATTCTTCCAGCCTCACCCATTTGAGGAGCTGCCACGCGCACGCAAGCTTCCTTCTTTCCACCATTGAACAGCTGATGCTTCCTGCGGGCGGGGGAAATGGGGGGGGGCACACGCTGCAGCACCTATAAACTATCCATCTATCCATCAGTCCGTCTGTCCAGCCTTCTGTCTATACACCTATATCCATCCGTCCATCCATCTATCCACATGTATGCGAGGCATAGGTGTGCAAAATGAAGGTGGCGGGTCTGCATGGGGACAGCCGCATCATTTGTGTGTGTGTGTGTGTGTGTGTGTGTGTGTGTGTGTGTGCGTGTGAACTTCCCGTTTCTTGCGAAATTGCATATCAATCCAATGAGGATGGCTGGACGTTTGTCAAAGGTGATCTGCCCATTCCATGTGAGAATATGAAATTGATCCCGTTTAGACGTTTTGACAGCACCTTGCCTCCATTCTTTTGTGCACTCGAGCTCGGAAAGGCAAACATGGAGCGAGTCCACTTGTCAGAAGTGCGGTGCGGCTGCGTTTTTGAAGCGGATCCCCGCTGAAAGTAACAGCAACACGAGGGTTGTTCCCATGGCACAAAGGCGAGCGTGTATCAGGTTGAGTGAGGAGCTTGGCTTCTTGTTGCGCTTGCATCTGCAGAGTTGGAAGGGAAAGCCAAGGAAATTGTGCAAGTCCCGTTTTTGATGATGCTGTCTCTGTCCATCTTACGCTTGACGCATGAAGCCAATTTCAGCGGGTCGCCACCGTTTGCGACAGTCAGTAAGGGTTCCCTTCTTATGAACTTGAATTTTGAAATCATCAATAACTTTCGGGGGGAAAAGGATTTGAAGCGTGGCTGCTTGAGCTCTTCCCATGCCCATGTCAGTCCCCAGACCTCAAGCCCATTGAAAAGCTGCAGAAGGGGGCTCCAAATGAGAGAAGTCAGGTGGCTGGATGATCCGGACCACTTATGCAAAGCCAAAGGGTTGAGTGTCACTCTTACTGTATTTTCTCGTTGTGTGAAACATGCAAGCACAAGATGAGCTGCTCTCTTGTTGCCAAAAGAGGTTTGCACAAAGTTGTCACATCAGGGCTGCCACAGCATTTGATGTCCAAGAATTATTTATTTTTCGTGTAGCAATTTTTTCCCCCACTGTATCGTTGTTTCAAGGTTGGATCTTGCTCTTTTTTTTCCCATGATTTAGACGATAAGTGAATTTATTAGAAGCTTAAGATCCCATTTGAACCGGGGCTGCCAATCATTCTGGAGGCCCGTGCACGTGCTAAGAATGACAGGGGTGATTGCCATGTTTTCCTCAAGTGGCGACCAGACATACAGTGCCTTTTGACTCATGGCCAGCACACAATCCCAAAAGCAAATGCCGCCAAGAGAAACGCCTCCGCGCAATACAGTTGCGACATACTACTTTATCAAGTCATCTTTTCTCATTGAAATGAGTGCAAATGCAATTGATCCATTCCACCACCACCCCCAAAAATATCAAAATTATTATTTTTTCTGTCGTATTGCATGAAAACACATTTGCTCCCCAAACCTACACACAAAAAAACAACTGTACCTTACATGCTGTCCTTCCTTCCTTCTGCTTCGGTGGTGTATGTTGGGGCGGTTACGAAACCACCTTAATGGCGCTTTAGCTCCCCCAACTGGCCAACTTGTACTTCCACTCCAAGGATACCAATGTGAATTCAATTGCCCAATATATATGGATTTTTTTTTCTTTACGTATCAGTGACTGGTATCGGCACCCTTCAAAAGTACGCGGTACCTTGAAAAAAGGCCGGTATATGCAATCCCAAGTTTTCAAGTGCTCTTTCATACCTCTTCTTGCACTTTTGCTGTCTTGTAACGTCACTTTGCTGAAAGGAAAAGAAGATCCTCTCACATTTGATCACGAGTCCAAGTGCGAGGCCAAGCGTGTGTGCTTGAAGATGTTAATTCATCACTCCCAGTTGAAGATGACTGTAAAAAAAAAACACACACACAAGAAACAAAAGACAATTCAACATTGTTGATTTCAACAGCAAAATGTTCAAGCAAATCACATTATCACAAATGTCCACTAGCTCCATGCTAACAGGTAATGGAAAATATCATATACCAGACATTAGCATAGATGTTACGGTAATTCCGAGTCGTCTCCCAAAATTATTTTTCATTTGACCCAAGAGGCAACTACACTGTCCTCGACCAATGAATTGTCTCCGTCGTGATTCAGGATGATTCGATTAATCATTTCACTCAATTACATGATACAGTATTTCACAATCTAAAAATCCTGATATACTCATTTGGGCGGATTCAATGTGTCATTTCAACTTTCGAATCAACTGTATAAAATTCTGTATATAGTGAATCGGGCGGGGATGAGCAGTCATGACAGCCGCTGCGCTCGCAATCATCACTACAAAGGCATTTTCAGCGGACATTTTAGGAACTATCTGTGGCCGCTATGTCAAGTCATTTGTAGTTAGTCACTTTGTGCGCACACGAGTGTGCCTGTATGTGTCTCTAACCCGAAGCCATGTGTGCGCGTGTGTCCTTGTGAATGAACATTTTCGTTCCCAGAGGTCAAAGGCTGAAGGTGAACCTTGATGTTGTTGCATTCACGGTGTATGATTTTCAAGATGGTGGCCGAAGCATCGCTAACGGCGAGTGGCTAACATTTGATGGCTACACCGGGGGTGTCCAACTTCGGTTTAGGGGGCGGGCCACGTCATAGTTAGGGTGTCCCTCGGGGGGCCGTTATGACCGTGAACCCATATAAACACCTTAAATGATCACAACAAATTGATGGATAGCTCATTTTAAAATCAAAAGACAGTAAATGATTGAGTTTTATCAACCGCCAGTCTTAATGTTGATTAAAGTGAAGATCGTTTCCATGAAGCATCGAGTCTATTCACAAGTTTTGCCTTCCTGGGCCACGTTAATAATGTCGTGGGCCAAAACTGGTCCCTGGGCTGCCAGTTTGACACCAACCCCCAAAGACACAAAACCCAGAAGGCAGCTCACACAGTGGTAAATTATAAATTAAAAAAATACCCTCATTTTTGTAATAAAAATACATTTAATATATTTGGAAAAAGCGTTACATTTACTCACATTTTTTTGTTTGTTGATTAATTGCTTACTGAGAGTAATACAAAGTAATTCATGAATACAATGAATAGCCAAATTAATGCAACAAATATTCCTTCATAAATTCTTGGTGGGGCGGATTAAAGGATGGAGAAGCCCGCCCCCTCCCGCTGTCAGTGGCCTGGAGTCTGTAATTTGCCCCCCGCCCCCTCCCTACACCCCTTCCTTGGTAGAGTGAAGGAAAGAATAAAGTAAAAAGCGCGATGTGGAGAAGTGCTGTGTTTCAAAGAGAGGGAGTCGACATTTTGTAGCAGCAACCCAGCCTCCAGTAAATGCAGCTGACTCCATCCTAGCATCCTGCCTTCCCCTCCCCCACGTCCTCCCATCCGTTCCCTTCCCACTTTCACTCTGTGACCCCTGCTCCACCCCTCCCTATCCCACTTCGCTTCTCATCATACAGTACACATTTATTTGCACTGCTCGGCGTGTGCGTGCCTGTGTGTCGAGCGTTCTGTGTGGTTTTGTGTCGTGAGTGGGTTTGACATGAGGTTGTGCACACAGGAAGTTTACAAGTTACCATGGTGACAGTCACTGAAGTGCATCTGCTTCCAGAAGCTTTTATTGTGAAGGGTATTCTGGACCTTCACATCACATCATTGTGTGTGTGTGTGTGGGTGTGTGTGTGTGTGTGTGTGTGCGTGCGCTTATCAGCTGGGCCAGACTTGCTGGCCATGTTTGCTCTCGGGGGCGTGTCTTCGTGCAGTGGTCCCCAATCATCGGTCTCCGGCCCGGTACTGCTTCGTTGGTCTTATTTATTGATTTATTTTTAGTCTTTGATGACCTTCCAAAGGGCAATATACATTTCGGCTGTGTTATTATATGATGGAAGATTGTGACAGTACAGTGAGCAGCTGTGAGCATATTTACTTGACCGGACACGGCGGCGGAAACGTGCGTGACGGCAGCAAGTTGAAGCCGTACACACAAAGTAAGAAGAAGATGCTTTACAGTGGCAATTCAAAAAAAATGTGAAGTCGCGACGTGTAATGTGTGCAGCGGTGTGACATTGTCGGGTGCTTTGTACAACGGGTGTGTGTGTGATGTTGTGTGACACTGCGTGTGGCTGTGTGACATTGGATGGGCCCCGTCTGGGGTTGTGTGTCACTGTGTGACATTTCGTAATGTGTCTGGCAGTGCGCCATTGCACGTGGGTGTGCGAGATTGTGTCGTGCTGCGTGCGTGCCGTTGTGTGACAAGCATGTGGATACGGTTGCTACCATGTGACATTGTGCGACGTGGGATTTTATGTGTCGCCGGGTGCCGTCGTGTGACGTCGTGTGCTTGTACTGCAGGCTAAGGACAGTGATGATGATGAAGAGGTGGTGCAGGTGGATCGAGACCACTTCATGGACGAGTTCTTTGAGCAGGTAACGTATGTCTCACAAACGCACACGAGCGACACAAGTGCACATGGACACGTGTACGCGCGCATGCATATACACACCCATGCACACATTCAAGCCAATGCACACGGACAGTGCACACACACACACGTGCAAACACACTTGCAAATAATCACACACACGCAGATACTCACACGTACACAAACACACACACGTACGATACAAGCAAACATATGCACATGTAACACGTTCACACAAATACAGAAACGTATCCATCTAGTGTTGGCGTGTTGTGACAGGAAGTGTGTGTGTGTGTGTGTGTGTGTGTGTGTGTGTGTGCGTGCGTGCTCACATATGAAGGTGGAGGAGATACGCGGCTGCATCGAGAAGTTGTCCGAGGATGTGGAGCAGGTGAAGAAGCAGCACAGCGCCATCTTGGCAGCGCCCAACCCTGACGAAAGTAAGCTAATTGTAATCTTCGTTAGCATGGCGGTACAGGGTTCAAGCTACCGAGTGTTCATTTGCATTAGTGTTAGTGTCACTCCCGTGGGAAACAAGATGAACATCGGACCACTTTGGAACATCTTCATCCCACTCTGTCATGCCGTCAGGATCGGAAAGTTGCTTTCTATCTGACGTTAGCGTCTTAAAGGCATTTTCGCAATCCTTTACACTTAATTGACTTGCGTACATATTAATGTAACGCGTCGTTTTTTTCAGCATCAACAATGCGCGCATCATCTACGTTTACCAAACTGAAAATGGGTTTCCACGTCATCGAATGCCCAGGAATGTTGCGGAAAGTGCTCGAGAGACTCCTGACATTGTCCGTGAATCTGCAAGGTTGTTTTGAGTGACAGTTGTTGTCGTTATCTTTGACTTTAATTGAATCGCAGTTGGGACATGAAGAACAGAGTGGACATTTGTGCTGATACTAGTCATGCAGCCACGCAGAGGCTTTATTTCTTGAGCACGGCAATGACTTGACGCCATCGTTAGTTGACGTCTCCATGAAGCGAGGAGCTTGAGGAGCATTGCCTCGTATCCCTAAAATTTTACCTCCTCCCGCCTTGCTACTCTGGCGATAAAACGAACCGCTACATACACGCCGGACGATATTTACTTCCCCAAAAATTTTGAGAGCGCCAGCCTACTTGCTCTGCGCTCTCAAAGCAGGGGAGGCGCGGCGCTCGTTAATTGGACGTTGAGTGACGTTAAGGCGAATTTGCGTTCATTTCGTCAGCCCTGCGATATATGCATTTGCATATAGTGGACTACATAGCGGACTCGTGACTACGTAGCGGACTAGATTGGGATTTTGATACGGTGCACTGCAGAGTTGCCTCATGAGTCAAGTGTCAAAACAGTTTTGGAGCGCCGTGCATGACATCATTGCCCGACGCAGAATTTCACCATTTCCGCATCAATGTCACCAATTTTGATGTCCACATGTGATCACTGCTGATTGATTTAGTTTTGTTTTTTTTTTCTTGTTTGTCAATCCCTCCCTTGCTTCCTGTCAGCCATGTTTGCGTTTGCATGTTGCATGCCGACCTCGCCAGTCGTCTGCGTCCGGCGCTTCCACTCGCTTAAGCGCACGTGAGTTTTGTCTGGCCAAACCCCGCCTGTCACTAACATGACCTTTGACCCCCTTCCAACGACCTTTGAGGCGATGCATGATGGGAAAGGTGGTTCCTGTGGCGACACAACATCTTCATAGTCACACACACACACACACACACACACACACACACACACACACACACACTAGTTGGCATGTTGCTAATGGGAGTGCCGACAGGAATGAGCCGCAGCGTGTTGTCATGTGACCCACAGAGACCAAACAGGAGTTGGAGGATCTGACGGCCGACATCAAGAAGACCGCCAATAAAGTTCGTTCAAAATTAAAAGGTAAACTCTGGCCAGGAAGTGAGGCATTCTTTGGGTTTTCACAATAAAAGCACTGGCCCGTGTGTCTCCCTGCAGCAATCGAGCAGAGCATCGAGCAGGAAGAAGGTCTCAACAGATCCTCGGCGGACCTCAGGATCCGTAAGACGCAGGTAAGGCACCCTATGCCAGCGGGGGAGTGGTCAGGGACAGCAAAGCTTTCATTAGTTGGGGCAACAACGCTACCATAGGACTAGACTAGCATATTCATCCCCCAAGATGGACACAGGCCCCAACCACGCATGGGATCATCCTTTAGGAATGCAAAAAAGATTTAAAAGAGGGGCATCAAAATGTTGGCTAAGTCCCCACTGGAGGCTCACATCGTAACTGTCGCAAAAAAAAAAACACTAGAGCCTCCGCCGCATCACAGCCGTTGTGAAGTTGTTTTCCGGTGTCGTCCCGCAGCACTCGACACTGTCCCGCAAGTTTGTGGAGGTGATGACCGAGTACAACACCACGCAGTCCAAATATCGAGACCGCTGCAAGGACCGCATCCAGAGGCAGCTGGAGATCAGTATGTGGCACATGTGTCTCACACACACGCACGATCATACACACACGCAATAAAGACAACAACTTGGGTGTGCTAACAACTGTGTGTCTGTGTGTGTGTGTGTGTGTGTGTGTGTGTGTGTGTGTGTGTGCGCGCGCGCATATGTAGCCGGAAGAACCACTACCAACGAGGAGCTGGAAGACATGTTGGAGAGTGGCAAGCTGGCCATCTTCACCGATGATGTAAGCACCGCACCTGTGCTAGCCAACATGGCCACCGGCCAAGATGGTCGCCGGCCAAGATGGCCGCCGTCTGGCGGGTGCGCTGACACATCAAGTGAACACGGCCTCTGTCACACGACCTCTGTCAAATGATGCCGCCCGCAAGAGCTTTTAATTTGAAGGGGGAGGGGGGACGCTTGGTATTGTCCCGCCCCCTTCATCTTAGCAGCTCTCCAAGGCCAGGTTACGTCACCTCTGTAAATGACTTCTCAGAGACCCGTCAATGACAAAGATCGCCGCTAACTACCTCATCTGGACCTGTCATGACTTGTTCCGCACCTGTCAATGACTTGTCACAAACCTGTCACAGACTTGTCACGGCCCGACCAATGACTTGATTCCGACCTGTCAATGACTTGTCACAGACGTGCCAGTGACTTGTGAATGAGCTGTTCCCGACTTGTCAATGACTTGTCAGATCAAGATGGATTCCCAGATGACCAAACAGGCCCTGAACGAGATTGAGACCCGGCACACCGAGATCATCAAGTTGGAGAACAGCATCCGGGAGCTTCATGACATGTTTGTGGACATGGCCATGCTGGTGGAGAGTCAGGTATGCAGTACGGCGCCGTAGCATCCAAGTATTCGACCCACTGGGGTCCACCGGTCCTTCACCTGTGCTGTGCTGGTTTTCAGGGCGAGATGATCGACAGAATCGAATACAACGTGGAGCACTCCGTCGACTACGTGGAGCGAGCCGTGTCCGACACCAAGAAGGCCGTCAAGTATCAGAGCCAAGCTCGCAAGGTAAACCAAACCATCATCAAAACTGGTACCAGGACTAAAACGGGATTTTTGAATCACAAATAGAACTGCAATCATACCCAGAACCTTGCTCCCATACCCTCAATCGAACCTCAAACACAGCCAAAACAATTCCAGATGAGTGAGGATTTACTAATGTACAGATTTATATTGGGTTAGCTCTGTTGCTATGCTAGCGCATTTTCATAACCTCGTAAATAATTGTCGTCCCTCAGAAAAAGATCATGATAATCATCTGCTGCGTGATCCTGGGCGTGGTCCTGGCGTCCACCATCGGCGGGACTTTGGGCTTCTGAGCTTCCGGGGACGCCCGTCGCCGTGACGACGCCCGTCGCCGTGACGACGGCCATCACCGCCGCCGCGACGACGGCCATCGCCGCCGTGACGACCGCCTGCGGCAGACCGACGGGAGCTGGAGAAGAAAAAGCCCAAAAACTTGAACCACAAATGCAAGAAGATAACCAATCAGCAAACGGGACACACTTGGGGTGGGCCGAGGTCCCAAATTCCCACCAAAAGCAACACCCTCAAATGCACCACGCTGTCAGTGTAGAGCGCGTAAACCAGCTCGCCAGCCGCCCACAATTTACTTTGCTTCTTTCTTCTTTGGAGCATCGCTTTCCTTTTTTTTTGTTTGTTTTTTTGTTTTGGAGTTTTGTTTTTTTTTTGTTGACGGGACGGTGATGGCGACAGCGACGGTGGGCGTCACCTGCCAGGGAAAGTCCACCGGTGCCGTCCCGCACAAATAGTCCTCCACGCTCCGACCCCGCCCCCAGACAAACATGCCCAATGGCTGTGTTCCGAATCCCTCCCGAGTCACTATTTCGCACAAGCTATCGTGAATGAGGGGCCAGTCATTAGCGAGCATGCTATCATTACTTTAGCCATTTGACATTCACCATTTTTTTTTTCTGAACCTGTCCTCCGATTTTCACTGAAAAACTCACACTCGGGCCAAAAGGAGTACAGTATTGCTTTGGCGCCATCTGTTGGTACCTTGGTGCTGAAGTGAGTTGAGGAGCTTTATTTTGACAAATGTAGCCCTTTGCCGCCATCTTTTGGCATCCGCAATATATTATAAAGTTACGTTAAATAATAGATTTGTTAATTGTGGTGTGAAATTATCCTCAATATAAGTAGAGCAATTTGTTTACTCAACTACTCCATTTACAACAATAAAAAGTTACTCTATTTAGTTGATCATAATTCATTACAAAAGGCGACATTGATCTCGTAATAACATCATTACATCGGGAATCATTCCCTACATCCGAGTCACGACAAAGGGATTTCTAGTGGACATTTTAGGAACTATCAAGGTCCCCAATATCGAAATCCTAATATTTTGGAGTGACGGATTCCCAACACAGCCAAAGCATCCCGCGGGTCCTTCATGACTCTGAGACGACCCCTCATTGGTCACTCATGTCAGTCAGCGCTCCACCCACGTTCACCCGATTGATTGGAACAAAATCCGGTGTTTATGTGACGGGGAGGGGGCCTCGGGGGGTCATTTGAAGGTGGCAAGTTTTCACGGTAACACACCAAGCAAAGAGTAGGGAGGACGAGAGGCCTCGGGCGGGGCGGAGTCAATGGCGGGGTGGTCAATCTATGCAGTTTAGATTACAAGCGTGGCCGGCCCCGCCCTTTGACCGCAGCCCCGCCCACCTAAGTCTTGCAGCCATGTTTTGTGGCGCTTGGTGCTCGTTTTACATGACTGCCTCTTGTCACTTTCTGTTGACGTCACTTCCTGTTGACATCGCCTGAGCCGTCTTTGTCGCTGCCTTCTCGACGAGTGCAACAAAGTTGCCCAGTGTGCTAGCTTTGCTCTAGCCTAGCCTTAGCATTAGCATAGTTTATGTTATCAAAGATTCCAGACAGAGAAGGAAAAAGCCCACAATCCATCTTAAGATGTTTCGCAGCAGGAAGCTACCGTCCTTCTTCAGTAGTAGAGTGAACTAAGGTGAAGCCGCACATGAGACTTAAGGTCACTTTGCCCCATAGTGCAACGATAAGAAAACACAGTGAACTTCCTCTTAAAGAATATAATGTGTTTGCGGCCTTGTTATGTTTCTTTTTTTTTCACTCCAAACGGGGTGTTTGAATTCCCAACATACAAGCTTGGCACCATTAGCTTTGTTAGCATAGCGCATGTCTAATTGTTGTGGTTCTGTGATGCTAAGGCCCGCCTGCCGCCGCTAGCAAGGCTAACTAGCCTAACAAGCACCGTAATGCCACAGACGGCACTCGGCGTTCAAGCAATAACGTCAGCTAGCGATCGCTCCCTCGTTGCATCAGCATCGGCATCGCAAGCCATGCTACCACTAGCACGGATCGCAGCGGCTCGGGCGGCAACAGGAAGTGGGAGACAGCGCTTTTGTTCAGTTTCTGCATGTTGTGTAGTCTTTTGCGCTTTTAGCTGTGTGACGTTGTTGCGGCAAACAAAACAAAACAAAACAAAGCGTTTGTAGCCTGTTTTCTTTTCATTCCCAAAACCAAAACCGACTTGCGCGTGCACCAAAGTTTTATCGTGTTGTGTTGAAACCAAACGTGTCGGCCGCGCCTCCTCGCTCGCTCGCTCTCCTCCTGTCAGGTACTCAAGTCGCTCCTTTTCCACAGTTGTCGGTCAAGTCGGTTACGCCGGGACGTCTTAGTTTGTCTACGCCGCCATCATCGTCCCTCGACAAACGCAAACATGGCGGCACGAAGGAAGGAGAAGTGTGTTCAAAATTGACCACTCATTACCGACTCCCCGATCACTACAAAGTGATTTTCAGTGGACATTTTCGAAACACTCTATGTTCCCTCGACAAAATGGTGTGCAGTACAGGTATATTGTGATTTGGGAGTCAGGGAATGAGTGAATGACTCTGAACATCATTGCTGTGTTCGGAACCATTTACTAATTCCAGAGGCATTTTCGGCTTAGGAACCATCTAGGTCAGGGGTCTCAAACTCAATTTATGTGGCAATGGCTGGAGATCGAGTCTGGGTGTGTCTCAGTTGCATGAAGTATACCATGTCTCCTGTTTTTTTTTTTAAAAAAAGGCATGACTGGGACAAGGTGACAGGATATCTTGTCCTTCCACTTCAAAACGTGTTGTCATGAGCCCGAGTTATGCGAGCTCAGGGGGTGGGGCCACACTAACATTCGACTTTGATGCCAAGAAGGGGGCCGAAAAATCTCATCCGGTGGGCCGCAAGTTTGAGAGCCCTGATCTCGGTGCACTATTTGAAAATCTCCGCGTGGCGAGCGAGTCGGGACTGAGTGAATGATGCATGATGACGCAACGACGGTGTTCAGACACATTCGCTCATTCCCGACTCCTGAATGACTACAAAGGGATTTTCAGTTGACAATTTAGGAACTAATCGAGGTCCACTTGATGAAAATACCAATAGAGAGTCATTGGGATTACGTGAACAATTCTGAAGACACAGCCTCAGTGGTGTCCTTGGTATTTTTGGAAAGATGACAGCGTGGATCAGGATATCCCCACCCCCTCCTTTCCTCTCTACGAGACCGCCTCCCTCCCATCTGCTCCCCAATATCACTGCTTCTCCAAAAGGTGAAAATATAAGAAGTAAAAAAAAAAAAACATGAAAGAAATAATACTAACAGTGGAAAAAAAAGCATGCAAAGCGTTGTGGAGTTTTGCATGGTGATGTTTTTGTATCCCGACCTGCCGCCATGTTGCGCACTTTACCGCTCATCGGCTCTGTCTTTGTTAGCACGTTAGCACGTCAACCAGCTTCTTTTTACATCACCCGTGGTGCCCCTCCCACTAAGCCCCCCCCAGCCCCCACACCTTATGAACCCCCC